ACCTTCATGATTCTTAAAATTAAATGAACACATAATGGTCTACTAATAGGTGTGACTTAATTATGAGGAGTGTCAAAAATAGAGGAAAAAAATAGAATAAAAATTTCACTCTGTATTTTTCTGATTTTGCATGCACCAATCATATAAAAAGAAGCAGATGGGAATTGTGAAAAAAAAAAAAAAGAAGCAGATGGGAATTAAAGTACATGAATTTTTTTTAGACGTCTAAAAACATGATTTTTTCCCCACAATACATGATCAAATTGATCTTTCTTTTCCATTTCTCATCTACTTACTCTACTACGAACACCAATTACACCTAATATGTTATGTATTCAATTTTCGCAATTCAACCTGATGCATTTCAAATTTTCATACACTATTTAATTGGATTTGAAGTTTTAAAATAGAGAAATTTCAAAAAATGGTACTTTTCAAGTGCCACTTTACAAAAATGCCACATTTTTAAAATTTTACAAAAATGCCACTTTTTCAAAATTATTTTTTCTTTATATTATTTATGTTTGGGTTAATTATGTTCTATTAGGGTTTAGTTTTGAGTGTTTAGGGAGTTTTAGGTGTCAAAACATTTTTTAGGGTTTAAAATTTTAAGATATAGATTTTATAAATCTATAATTAGTGGCATTTTTGTAAATGAACACCCTTAAATGACATTCTTGCAAATGTACACACAAAAAATGACATTTTTGTAATTGTCCCTTTAAAATAATACTAACCAATCAATGCAAAAAATCTAGTAGATATCTATTTAGCCGGACACTTTCGATATAATTTCTTAATCAATCAAATTTATCCTTATTGTAATTTCAGACTTTCTGTTTTTTTTTTTCCTTTAGTTTGGGTTCGATTGATTGATTGAAACTCACTTCAACGTTCGATTTGAGCAAAATTTTGAACATTAGTTTATATACATGATTACTTCTAATAGGGGTTTTCTCAAACAACAGAATCTTAAAGGTGTCATAAAAAAACAATAGAATCTTAAAGCTCAGCTCATCGTGTGGAATCTATTTGCAAAGAAGACCGAATCTTTTTATTTATTTTCCCTCGTAAAACATAAGAAGAAAATGGAATATTCTATTAGGCAACACTTGAGTGGGAAGATAGCGTCAAACAGACTCGACCTATATATGATCGGATCTTTGCTTCTAAGCTTAATTAATTAAGGCTTAATTACATTGTTTAAGTGACAGAAGAAAATAAATTCCTGATTATACGTAACCAATTATCTTTGGGTGGAATCTTTTGTGACATTATTTGTCTAATATCTTAGGAATCCCAAGTAAAGAGCACCCAAAAAGAGAATCTCTCTGACAATACAACTACTTTGAAGTCAATGTTCAACAATTTGAGTATATCGAGACCTCGTTAAAATTTTATTTCTTATGTTCAGTAAATGGCGGGGTTTCTTTTAAATAATTAACACATATATAGATCATGTAGCATAATCAACTTTAACATACTCTTCTGATGTTAGTATTCGGTTCATTAAACCATAGGGTAATTAATATTCAAAATCAACTTTAGGTAAACTAAGTTATTTCTTTCTACGGAGTTATTAATTAATGCTCAGTGTATTGTGGTCCAATTTGACTTCCTCCTCCATTTTTGTTCTATAAAAGTTCTTCTTCCATCTTTAACCTTTTTTTTTATAATATAATAAACACTTTTGATAAAAATAAACAGTTTATTAACCAAACATATCGTGTTTTAACAGTTACATCTTTCATATAATTTTATAAAATATTTTAACATACTCTTGAAACCACATATTTCTCAAAGTAATGGGAAAATAAGAGTATATTTGTTAGGTTACATATCGTTTAAGATGTATAAACTATGATAACTGAAATTCTACATACTACTAGCTAACATCAGAAGTTAAATGAGTGTGGGAGCAAAAATAAAAGTTGTCAAGGAAATTATTGCGATTTA